AAATGAGAAAAAAGAAGTAAACAGCTACTTTATATGAGTTGTCCTAGAGCATAACCAATAAACGAGCAGTGACTCTCTCCACAGAAGATTCCTATTTAAATGCAAATGCAATACCTACTGATAATAATATAAAGAAAGAATGCTTTTGTCTAAAAGTTTGTTTGGTGCATAGAAAGCTTAGAAGATGCTAATCTGTGAAAAAGCAAGCAGTCCAGTTCTAAAGAAGGACACTGCTTAATTCCAAAGCGTCAATCTTTTTCTCTCCTTTTTTTAAAAAGTTAAAGCTCTCTTCAACTGCAAAAACAGGAAAAATGCATTTTCTTCACAAATGTGAGTCTAAATTTATAACTGAATCCTCAGTTTCAAGCATTCTGAAAGTTCTTCAGAGGAGCAAAATGCTCAAATTATTATCTTTAGGTAAAAATACCATTTTTCAAAGTTTAGTGATGAGAAAGTCTTCCCAGGAATGTTACGTTTGCATTGATAAGTAATTCAAAAGCATAGGTACACACTCTTCCGTCCAATTCTCTCCTACTTTTTTTATCATGCCTAACCATAAATCATACCTTTACACAAAATCAAAGGAGCTCAAGAACTTCAAGGTTCCTCAAGGACTTTTATACATTAAAAGAATGTCAACCTTCCAAGGCAGGATGTATCATTTTATGCCATAACTCACACTTACTACTGTTTACGTAAGAAAGAGATAAGTTCAACAGACTAAAAAGAACAAGGAGTCAGAATCACACAGCTCAGGACCTTAGAAATGCACTTTAATTTCTAGGCCATTAGTTTAAGCCAGAGCTGACCAAACCATTTCAGACCAGATACACCCGTGGACCTAGCAGAAAGCCTAAGGACTCCGCAGACACAGAGAGTAAAAGTCCTTCTAGGACATCTCTGACGTGCATTTCTATGTAATGACAGAGGGCAGAGGCAAGGAAAATTCACGTTGTTCTCGGACTTCAAAGTAACTATTCATCTGGAAAGACTATTATGCCAAAAGTAAAGATTCTAGTGTTTTAAGTCAAGCCAAGAGTTTTCAGCAAGGCTAAAATTCAGTTAATATTTAGTATGAAAGGAAAAGGGGGAATGTAGGAAACAGAAGTGCTTAAAAGGTTCCTTTGCCTCCAAGATTTTAACACAAAAGAACATGCTTAAAACAAAACATGGCCTCATTTACCATACCTTTGTGACATCTACTTGGTCAGACCAATCTATGTTGATGCTCTCCAGGCAGTTACTGCTGGCACATTGTTTCATTGTCCGGGAAACGTTGTAATAACAGTAAAACATGACTGTTAAGGGTACAACAAAATTAACAGCAATTACACTCATTGTGTAGGAAACAAAGGACCTGATAAGACAGAAAAACAAAACACAGTAACTTACAAATAGCCATCCAGGAAAAGTTACTACAGAATTTGATATTTTGATTTGATTATGAAATTTTAAAACAAGCTTTTAAAGAATTAGGAAAATTTTCTTCAGCCTTATTTTTTCTATTAGCAACTACAAGCCTTGCAGTTTTCAAGCATGGCTCAATTCCTATGTTTTTTCTAGACTCAGTCTATATTATTTCCATTGTTTTAAAATTATTTTTATAAATTAGGCTTCATACTTCAGAAAGAAGTAGTTATGCTCATATAGTGGTGAATTAAATGATTTTAACCTCCAATGAGACAGCAAATTTAAAAGAAAAGGTGAAGGGGAATCTTACACATCATTTTTCCTCCAATTTACTGTGCAAGTTGCTCCAGTTGGATCCGGAGCGTAGCTAGCCCAGCCTACAGTAGGCATGGAAGCCCAAAAGACTGCATTTATCCAAGCAGCAAGGATTAGAGTGGCATAGCTACGGGCAGTCATTCTTCTTCCTGTGGCCAAGCACATACAATCACAAACCATTGTCATCTTTTGCTGCTTTCCTGTGTTATATTTGAACAATAAGTGGCTTCCAGCAAGCACATACCAGGTTAATAATGATCCTTTCAAAGGCCTACACTCCCAAACACTGTAGCATACCTTTTTCGTGCTGATGAATGACATCTCAAGCTTTCCAGCCTTAAACACCATTTAAATACCATCACCCATTCCAACTCACAGCATTCAGGCAATACCTGATCCTAACCTCGAGCCAAAAAGTTTATTACGTAGCACTGCATTCAAGTACATCTTTGCATACTTGCGGGGGAGGAATTAACTGTTACAATACAGCTGTAACAGAGAAGAGAGAAAAACATCCCATACTGTGTTAAGACTAGAGGCACACACCAGCTTGACAGTGGTCAAAACCTCCCACAGCTAGAGGCTTTTCACGTGCTTCTCTAAATGGATGTGTTTAAAGACTGGAAACAGTGATGAAAATGCAACTTATAAACAGAATAACAGCCTAATTGTGAAATTTTTCACTTTCACAAGCAGTACCATCCACACCAACCAGACAACTTATTTAACTAAGTACTGTAGGATCATGCCCTAAATTCAATTTATGCCCAGCACTGTAATTCTGGAGTTATTAATGAGAAAACAATACAATTAGATACTTATTTCATAGAAGCCCAACAGTGAGCCATTTTTGACCATAAGTACAGTACCTATATCAGGCCTGCAAATTGTCAGATAACGGTCAACTGCAACAACAGTGAGCAAACCAATACTTGCCATCCCAAAAAAGATATTTAATGCAGCATAGATCTGAAATTAAAACAAACAAAAAAATCCTTTCTGAGAAATCTTTCAAAGGTACAAGTACAAATTTGTGGACTGAATCAAAGGCACTATGACACATGACATTCAGCCAGTGTTCTCTTCCATAAGCAAGGTACTGAACTAATTCAAAATAGGCAATTTGGAGCTGGCTTATTTAAAATTAAACATTTCAAAAGCAACCTGCTCATGTGCACATCAGAAATCCTAAAGACAGTAGTCTAAAAAGCAAACACCATACTTCAATAAGTAAATTTCGAGATTCAGAGACAAAGAGTTTGGAGGTTGGGGGGAGGGGAGTTCAATTAATGTTTTCAACATATGTTAAAGAAACCTGAAGAGCATTTGACTCATTGAAAAAGTTATGGCTTTAGCAAATGTGAGGTTCTGAATTGTCACTCTCTCCTCTATTCTATAACTACACTTAATTCACCGATATGGTACATGGATTTTCCCCATCGGACTCCATTTTTACACGTGTCAGATCTACTACGCTGACATATGCTGCAATCCCAACGTGCTCTAAATGTGTCTGCCCAGTCATCCCACGGACAGCCTGACCGGGAAGGATGACTGGGAGGGCTGTGGTACCACTGGCACCCCCAAAATAGAGCCCTGTGCCAGACCACATGCTACCAGACATTATGATGGAACTACATGACATTTAGCCATCTCAGTTCACATGATTCATTTGGTTTAGGTTGACAGGAGTTGTACTTCAAGGGATCTTTACTCCCAAAGCATCGGTAGTGAGATTTCACATCAACTTCAACCCACTACAAGTCAGTTTAGATCAAAAGATGTTAAAAGTGAAGCTTCCTGTCAAACAGTGACTGAATTTTGAGCTTGAAATAACTGTGTTTTCAGGCAAGGGATGTCAGATTGTTATAAACATCCATTATGTAAAGGTCCACAATGTACAGTGTTGCAAATATTTTCCTTGAGTCACATTTTCAGCATACACCTTCACACTACTATTAATTTTCCTGGGCACCTAAGCCCAACAGTCTTTAAAAAAGTAGATTTAAATCACTGTACACAGTGAGCAAAGGGCACCATCTCTCTGCTATCAAAGTATGATTTTTCAGTCAATCTATTTTTAAAAGCAAACAGCTATTAAAATTAGCCTAAATCTTAAATGGAGACCAATAGCCTTGCAGGCCTTCCTATTGGATATCCTAACAGTCCCATCCAAAAGAACATGTATTTGCCAAGCAGAACTCATTAAGATCTGTCAAGATTATCATCAAAACAGTAGCCACATCCAAAGTCTTTTAACTATCAAGTCATCAAATGTGCATGTGCTACTATAAAACATTTTCATTTGGGGATTCAATTTCCTAAACTTGCTTACAGCTATTTCAAAATCTTTAGTTGATAAATATAAGGTTACATTTTAATGTTTTCAGATTATAAATATAAGTTTGGAATCAAATTCACACCAAATCCTACACCCAGAAATTGCTGACATTACAGAACATCAGCTTCAGGTCTAGAGTCAAATTTTGCATCTCTAGCTTATCTCTTAAAAGAACTAATAACAGGTAGAGCTACTACTTATTTCTCAGCTTGCTTTTAAGTGCTCAAAACTTTCTCTCTGACTGAATTGCAATACCTGGCATCCAGTATATCCAAATTTCCAGCTTCCATGCAGGTCTGAAGCAGCAGACATGGGGTAACCAATGCCACTAACACCAATGTCAGTAAAAGCCAAGTTGATAATAATTGCGTTGGTTGCTGTCCGAAGCTCTTTGTACTTAACAAAGATGCCTAACACAACAATGTTACTGAAAATGCTTATCACTCCTGTAGAAACAGAAAAAGGGAAATTTTACAAAAGATGCACACCAGCCAGTAATATACATGTAGAAGAAAATGCAGCCTATTGACATCTAAGTCCTAAACAAGTTTTATTTTCAATCAAGCACAATTTTGCAAAGAGGACAGACACCTGAAAAGGAGAGAAAAACCTTTTCCAATTAGATAACTTGCACTTGGATTTAGTAAGGGACAAAAGCAAGTGTTTTTCTCAACCTGGGACTTCTGATGCAATGACAACAAGCATAGCAGAAATTCAAAAGCATCTAGGCTTACAATTCAAACACTCTGGCCACCAAGTACAGTGCTGTCTTCCATGGCAAAAAAGAGTGCAGGCTGGTGACTGGCTAAAAAAAGTGAGCCTTATGATTCACCTGATCTAGCAGAAGGCCCCTGCCACACCTGAGATTTTCCTTTCTCAGCAGAGAATGCATTCAGACAATAATCCTGGGCAAAAGGAATATAGAAGCTTTGACTTTGCTACCATTATTCTACCCTGCCAACACCTGAGATTTTCCTTTCTCAGTGGAGAATGCATTCAGACAATAATCCTGGGCAAAAGGAATATAGAAGCTTTGACTTTGCTACCATTATTCTAGCCAGACTAACTCCCCTCTCTGCTCATGAGGTCCCAGTTCTTTGCAAGCATCAGAGTTGACTCAGGTTGCTGCAAATGGTGTTTTCTAAGGCTTGTCAAATGGTCTGAAGATCTGCACAGCCTGCCACAGTGGCAGCTCTTCCCTCCACCTGACAAGCTCTGGGGCTGTGTCATGGCCACGGTAAAAGTCCAGCTGTGCACTGAACTTGCTCCTGCCTCGCTAACCTGTGTATTTTTAAACCTCTTTGACCTGGCTTGACTCAAACTGTGCCTGAAGTCTATTATTAGGCAAGCCAAGAAAAGGCCAGTAGACAAAGAGTTGTAATAAAGAAATACAGTACTAAAGCTAAAATGTACATTCTCCTCTCTTGGTGTCCAGTCCCTCTGGAATTTACTTTGGACTTAACAATGCTCTCCAAGGCATCCAGGACACTCTTCACGACCCTATGCATCAGCAAGCTTTTTCTGATCCTGGTGACCTGTATTAAAACCTCCAGATCCTGCTTTTCTCCTGCTATTCCTCTTTCCTAGCCAAATCCCACTGCATGGCTCTTGCAGTGAGTTTACATGGCACTCCCACAGAACGGGAGGGTTTTGCTGTGGTTTTATTCTTTTCAGACTCTAGTCTGTTGCAGATATATCCAGAGCAAACTCCCATCTTCTAGACTTTTACTAACCTACTATTACTAGACAGCTATTAAGGTTAAAAACTCCCCCTCACACCTCAGCAGAGAAAGACACGCAGCCCTTACCAACAGAAAATTCCAACATGTTCTAGCAAACACAGCCATTAAAAAAATAGCTTGCAAATAATAACAGGAATTTGTAAGAGTCATCCATAGATCCCTTAGTCTGGCACAGCTGTTACAGTATCACTGAACCAAATCCTAAACTTACAAACACTTGTATAGCCTGGGCACCTTAAATTACAAGTGCATAGTGGAATGCTATTTTGGTAAAAGCCTAACAACACATTATCCATGGAAATGCCCCTCAGAATTTTTATTTTTTTTTTTTTTTTTTACTTTAAAAGTTTGACCTATGAATCAAAACACTGTACTTTTCATCGTCACAGATCTGAGGGATAGTTCTGCAAGGAGTTTGAGTGAATGGCTGTCATACTGAATGTGGACTTCTGAAAACAGACCCATGTTCTTTCACAGTCACTGCCCATCCTGCTCTGGTCCCCCAGCAACCCATCACCCTCACTGATGGGATTTCTGCTCCTCTATTGGCTCCACCAAAGACCTGACACACAGAGCTTACTTTTTGCCGACACGCCTCTGTGGAAAGGGCAATAGGGTTTTTAAGTATTATACGATGTTCTTCCACCTGTCACTGTCAATGCTGCAGCCCAGTTAAAAATCTCTAACATCAGTTTCAGTCTGACTACAAACACGCTGCAGTTCAAACAATAACCTCAAATCAGCAGGATTAGAAAACCTGAGGGCAATAATCAGTTTCAAGCACTTCAACTCTACAGTTGAATTTTGAAGACTTTAACTAGTATTAATATGGAAATTCCTTCAAATCATGGAAAGTCCTGTGGACTTCATCACTGGCAGTCCACAGGAACACAATCCATAGATGTATAAATATCAGCACACACCCCGGTGCATCAAACTGAGGCAGATATTTCTAGGGTCAAATACACATCAGAAGTACCATCTGAACCACTATGCTCAGCAAGAGCTATGTTAATACCACGACAGATATGAAAAAGGGCAGAAGGAAAGCCAGTGCAATCATAACAACATCCATAAAAATATAACAAAGATGATACTTTGGATAATGGACACTAGGGACACCACCAATTCTTCAGCTCTTAAAGGGAGTTTCTCCATTTCAAATATGTAAATTGGTACCTTTTTATTATACCTATAACTCATAGAAGAAGTTGCACTGCAACATTTTACTAATCAGTACCAACCTCCTACCTAACAGAAGCTCTCTTAACAGATTCAGTAATTTTAAAATCAAATGAGACAAAATGATAATTAATCCTTGCCTATCTCTCTTTCCATTCTCTTTTTAAAACCACCAAGCATGTCTGTTCTCAGGTGCAAGTCTCTTGCTTAGTACATAAAACACACCTTAAAGATTACATTGGAGGTGCACAGCCACATAGATGCCACCAGCTATCATATTCATATATTCACACATTTCAGGAATGATACTGCGATGCCATGAGCCCCTAAAATGAACAAAAGGGGGGAGCTGGGGATCCAATCTGAAACCAACACCATAGTAAAAGTGCTCTCAGCGCTGGTTCTGTCAGCTCTCCCGTTGACAGGCAGTACGTCATCTCTTGGGAAAAAGGAAGCAAAATAGAATTACATGTTTATAAAACAGTACAGCCTTCTTATGAGGCATGCTTGAACAGATACTACAGCTACCAAGAATGAAATCAGAAATACAACAGGACTGTAAACTCATATCCTCAGGGTGAGGGAAGGATCGTGTCAGACACACCTAAATTTAGTGCTTCAGAGCCCAATCTTAAAATGAAGTTGGGGGGGGGACATGACACACCAAACCAGGGAAGAGAAAGTGGAAATTGCTAAACCTATATTCATTAAAAATTTCAGCACCACTAAAACAAATTAAAGAGCCAAAGTAAAAAAAAAAAAAAAAAAATGTTCTGGGGAGCAAAATGTAAGAAAGAAGATGGATTCCATCTTGAACAAAGTGAGAAAAAACATGTCGATTCAAGACATGCTCTCTTCCCTGTTTCTGAGAATCAGGTCAAGTAGAACAAAGTTTCTGCATTTCTTAGAGGGTAGGGAGTGCAGACCAAGCCAAGACTTTCAGCAACCTGAAACTGTCAGCTGGGACAAACTCATGTGATTCAGAAAAAAGCACACCGATGCTGCCAGTTGGCCTATGAAACACTGTAGGGTTAGACAGCTATTCCCATATTTCTTCCATTAAACCTTGTAGTTTTGTCAAGATGCAGATAAAAACATCACGACCTGATCAAGAGCAGAAGAATTTCTTATTTTCCTTCTTCTCAAGGAAGCAACAAAAACTAAAGGCAGATCAAATGCAAATTCAAGCCTTAACAGAGTTAAGCAATACACATAGTAGCATGAAAACAATGTATAACACGGAATTTACTTTTCCAGTTAGCATTTTAAAATGATACCAGAGCATTTCACCATTATAAACTGAAGGATATCCATGAGACAGTACTGCTTCCTGCAGCCTGAGTATCCCTGTTGTCATCACTAAAATTAATACAGACCACTGTAGCCTGCAATACTTATCAATGACTTCCTTCTCAGAAAACAAAGCAATTATTTGTAAAAAGCATTCAAACTTTTTAAAAGCAGCATAATGATGAACACCGTACCTGTACTTCATTCTTATTCTTAGACATCTGCTTATTAATACAGCTTAAATTTTCCAGATGTGAGATTTGCCATGGTAAGGCATTTGCAAAGCAATCAATCATACTTTCAAAGACGTTATAGACCCAACTGTCAAAAACATTCCTCATTAAGAAAGCAAAGTCCAAGCTACAGGTGCAAATTTACTAGACTCCCCCAATTATAATAACAAAAAAACCCAACCAACAACCAACAAATAAACCACAAAGTATTAAAAAAAAAAAAAAAAAAAAAAACCAAACCCCAAGCATTTAATTTCCCTGCAAGATTAAGAAAGAAGAGCTGGGTTGATTCTGGTTAATCCCATTGATCAGACGATAGCTTTGATCCCTAACACCATGCGGTCAAACTATCTGAAAAGACCACCTTTTACATACAATGTAATCAATTTTAAGTAAAAAACACAACAAGTATCATTCATATTTGCAGCACCTAATAGATCCAGTTACCTGCAAATAATGTAGCAGTACTGCAGCATTGCATCTAGTCTTCCAATACTTGACCATCATCTACATCATCTACAGCTTCTTAACAAGTCTACTGATCTGTGTAGCTGTTCTACCGATTTCTCTAAAAAACTGAAATAAATTACTGCCTTTGCATTCAAAAATACCCTTTTTACCAGAACAGCAATTTGATACTTACTACTTCAGATGATAAGTACCAGATACGCTAAATAAAATGTGGCCATCAGCAATACTATTTCATACAAACTTAAAGTACATTAATATTTTAAAGTAGTTTAAAAGCTAATGATAACACAGAAAATATATGGTATAGTCTATGAATAAAGTATTTATAAACGGATTTAATTTTCCATAATAAAGGTATAAAAGGCCTATATTTCAACACAGTAGGTTTCAGTATTTGGTCAGTGCTATAGCACTCTGCTTCAGAAAAACATTACTGAAGCAGCTGTGGTTGTAACAATGAGAAAGTTTTCAAGGAAGAAAAAAAGAATTCCATAATCATTCAGGTTTAGCCAAAGGCCATTGCAGTCACAGGCAACAAACACGATGTCAAGCCTTCCAGCATGCTTTTTCTAACATGTGTCATCGGTGAAAAATACAGCTGCAACTGGAGTCTGCTCTTCTCTGATTAATGACCAGCTCCCTCCCTCTAAGTCACATTCCAACCCTTCCCCTTACATCCCCCTAACAGACACCCGCTCACATGCTCAGACTACACATATATTACTACGAACATGTGGCCCAAGAGAAATCTCAAGATAGCTTCGAGCACATCACAGAAAAATGCAAGATGTGACAGCTATGCCTTATTTTTATCTCTTCTGCAAGCTGGCAGAAATTAATTCTCACTCTCTTCTATAATTACATATCAACAAAATATATTTTTCGAGACACAATGCTGCCTTCAAATATAGAGCAGAAAACTTAGACATTTCTGCACACTTCAGTCAGCCTGCTGATTGCTAACTTGTCAGGAAACTATGGAGAAAAAGCGATCAGACATTTGTGTAATACAAAATGAAATACCATCGGTGGTACTATACAAAAAGAGCATTCAGATCTACGGTTCTATTTTAAAAAGTTATGCAACAATTTGCCAAGGCCCATACCTGCTGTTATTAAGTAAGCTGCAACTATGTTGTGCTCGGTCTGTGTAAAGGCTGAATGAGCTTCATTGTCACTTTCTGAGGAATTGGATGAATCATTCCAATGCATTTTGGACAAAAGAGACTGGCGTCTATCCTCTGCAATAATTCATCAAGACGATGAAACACTACAAAACCCTGCCAGGCAAATTCTTTCATTATTCAACAGACTCACTGAACAATTAAAAAAAGGGGGGTAGAGGGGAGTTGCCCCCACCATTGACAGCCTCCAAGCACGATTTAATTGGTCTAAAGTGCAAAGAAGTTTACGCTCCCAATCTATGCAGGAGATTGTTAATTAAAACAAAGAGCAGCACAGAGCTGCGTACATTTCCAACAGTATGCTTAAACTTCATTCTTACTGCTAAAGAGATTAACTGTCACATGCCCCCAAACTTTTTCCTTCAAACCTCTTGTGCAATGCTTTGGAAACCTTAACAAAAGTTGGCTCAGGTCAGTTGGTCATCAGCCTGGCTTGGAATTAATTCCCATCATCACAGCGAACACACAAAACCACAGCACAACATAAAGACACAAATGTAAATTTCTTTAAAAAGCAGGATACACTTACACTAAAGTCCATTCAGTCAAATCCTTAAAGACCTACTTCTTCAAGATTCTTAGTTTGATTTAAACTCTTAAGCTGAGGTAGACACAAGAACACAGTCCAGAATTTTTCTAAAGCGAAGCACGACTTTCAGAAAACCCAATTGCTACATTTCTAAAATAGCCTGATCTGCAGAAAATGGTTTTGAATCTGCCTTACAAGTCTGAACACCCTCCCTCTCCTGAACACATACATGTAAGGTTACTTTCGGCAAATTTACCTAAGCATGTTACTGGGCAGAAAATTTTTAGGCATTTTCCAAAGCCTTGTGCAGCAGAAGCTCAAGTTTTCTTCTCTGCAATGACAAAGCAGCAGCACACCAAAGTAAAGACCTTTTACAAAATCCTGCATAAATATTAGCTGCAGTAAGCCCTTGCCCAAAGAGCTCATATGCAGTATCAGTGTAAGTAATCAAAGGTGTTTCCTACCAGTTCCCCTTCATACAGTTTTTGTCTCGTTTTGTACTCAGACTGGGTATAAAAGTGACAAGGATGAGCAACCAGTGGTTCTTCAGTTGTCTGTGGTTGACAGGCAGCCCAAGCAGGCTCCCTGGCTAGGGCTGTGTCTTCTGAGCAGCAGTAAGGGTGTAGGGACACAGGCAGTATTGAGGCATAAAGCCATCCCACAGAAAGGAAGCATACCTGAAGAGTGCTCTCTAACCCATGAAACACTCACAGAGCATTCCCTCCCACTCCTCAGCTTTCCAGAACAGACATCCTGCATCTTTCACCCATTCGAATCTAAAGGTAAGAAAATTTTGATATAAAACTTGTGCAGTCACAACATTTAGTCATCTTTACTACAGATGATCATGTGTTACAGTTCTACCAGGAAACATTTTCTTTAATGCCACAGATCTAGACTCACAGTTCTCAGAGTACTTGTTTTATTACGGTATTTTTCCTGTCAGAAGAGGATTAGGCAGGAAAAGGGTGGGAGGGTTCCGAAAGGAAAGATGATCTGTTTGGCAATGAAGCCACTTCCCTAGTGCCCCATAGTCCTGCCTCGACAGATAAAAGCATAGTGATAATTTGATATCTTTGCTTTCCTCCCCTGAAACTTTGGCAAGATTTTCAAAAGCATCTCAGATCTTGCAGCTTCCACAGAAGTCAGAGCTTGCAATGCCGGTTGTCTCAGAGAAGCGAAGCATTACTATTTTTATTCAAATAGGATTCCAGACTTAAGACTAGCAGTTAATGGGACCATACAGATTTTATACTTATCGGTTCAAACGCAAGCTTCTAATATACGCAGTCCATCCTATATACTATCCCATTGTCTCCATCTCCTCTTGTCTTAAATTTGGCTAATTTTACAGCAACAGAAATTGAGAGAAAAAAGTGAAAATTAAAGGTAGACATTACTTATCATTAACCTAAAGTAATTTTTTCTAGAACACTGCAGTTCATAAAACAAGCCAAAAAGATAAAGCAAGGAATTAAATATTAAAGTATACAAGTAATCCAGGAAGTTGGAACAACAGTTCCTAAGCCAGATAAAATATGGTTTACCACATTGCTTTTTAATGCTGGCATAAGAAAAAAAATAATATCCAAAACCTCAGGCTGTTTTTAATCCTCCAATAGAGACAGAATTACTAGTGTCAGGGGGAGCACTTTATAACCTCAAATGGTGCTTTTACTTCCTGCTTGTCACAGATCAGTAGCAACAAAATGCAATTTCTGTTAAAGTCCATTCTTCAATTTGTAGGTATCTCTACAGATATGGGGCAATGCAAGACTCATTACAGGGTTTAGCAAGTTGTTCTCAGTTATGTGGAAAGTATATGTCAATCCGCAAGCGACAAGAGTAAAGTAACTTACCGTTTGCATTAAAAAAATTAAAAAGCAAAACCAAAACAAAACCTCTTTCCTATTTTCAGTGGTAACTGCACTAGACCACCAGAACAAAATCCTCCCACGTTTATTAAGCACATCACCACAAGAGGGCTCTAGAAGGCAGAACTTCCCTTCAATCTTATTTTCACAAACAAATGCAAATAGTTCAAAACCAATGGAAATCAAATTAATAAATTATTTTTCTTCACCACAGAGACTTTTACAACATTTAAACTGTTGATTAGAAAAGTTTGACTCCAAAGAGATTTTTCAGCTGACTGAAGAAAACGCCCTGAAAAATATGTGATTCCACAAAGCTTTTTACTTGCCATACTTCCTGCAGCAGCTATGCTTTTTCTTAAAGACAACACTGTTTCTTGCCAAGACAATGCTTTGCACAACCACAAATAACTTTGCACCAGTATGTATGTGACCATCCAGCATTGCTTCAGGCAAACATCCACAATTTCGTGTCAGTGCTAGAGAATCCTTTCTGTTCTGCACCAGCCAGTGCTGCAGACGTAAATTAAAATATCCCAATTATTTTCTGCACTTCATCAGATTTCTCTCTCAAAGTAACATAGCAAATCTATGAACTATACTGAACCATCTCTTCCCAGCAACTACAGAAAACACAAGGAGAAAAAACATTCCTCCAAGAAGAAACACAGGGATGCTAAAGCCCTTCTCAATGGGCAACAATTTAAGCTTTACAATACACCTCCATGTTTACAAGGATTTAGATTTTAGATAGAAAAAATAAAACCCCAGAATTTTAGTGTGGCAAGGACAAAAGGCTCAAGGTCTTCTAAATACCTTTAAGCAACTTGATCCTAGTGATTTACTAGCTGTCATTTTCAAAATTAGCTGAAAGTCAGACCCTGTGTCTGGGTGAAATATTGCATTGGCTAACGCATTCACCTGCAACTTTATTTTGGAAATGGGACTTGGTCATTGAATGCTCTGCCTCGGCCAGCAGTGAGCACATGCAGACGGACAAGGAGACAGGTAGGTGACACCACTACTACTGTGTCCTGGGTGGGAGGCCAAGCCCCGTGAGGCACACTGCAGCCTACCTTCTTCCCGAGCTTCAGAGGGGTACTGCAGGACAGCCACCCCCTTTCTGCTGCTGGAGCGGGTGGCAGGTGAGAAGTTCTTTAGGTGGCCAAGTCATTTGCCCCAAAAGCTGCCAGTGAGGAGAAACCCAGGGAAAAACCAAACTGTCACCGAGAGCCTACACTGCCACTAACACCTTCCCCCCATCCCCCTGGCTTCAAACTGCACTGTGACTTTTTTTTCCCCAGACACTACAGCTACTTGAAACTTCCCATTTCTGCCAACGTATTTATTTCTGTCAGGGTGCTGGTGAGCCCACCTTTCCAATCTCTGCAGAAAAAGCCTAGGACATCTGTAAGCACATATATAAAACTCAACACTTCGCTTACTAGGATCAGGAGCACAGGGACAGAATCACAGATAAGATTTGAATAAAAAGTTCAAGACAGTGATGAAGACATCATATAAAATTAGAAAACCTGTATTTTAGCTCATTGCAGCATTACACTGCAGACAAATATTGTCTTAATTTTTTTAAGACATTGTATTTTCATCCATTACAGTTAGCAACTACTTGCATTCGGAGGGCAGGCTTATGCCACGGTGCAGAGAAGACAAGGCAGAACAGGGACTGGATGGGCCTTGCCACAACCAAACACCATCCTTCCCCAAAACAGGGAAGGAGGGAAGAAAAAAAAAAAAAGAAAAAAGAAGAAAAAAAAAAAGGCATCACCACATTGCAGACACATCCAGACACTGCTTCCTCATATCATCTCATTTCACACCAAATCACTAAGGACGTTCTTCCATCAGCATCTGAACATCCTACAACCTCCACAAAGACCTAAGATTTTAAGTTTTCTCTGGCTATTTGTGTTAATCCCATCCAATACCATTTGTATGCGCAGGGCATGCCATCATGCTCCTCATGAACTTCTCAGCTGGGACTGCAATCCAGTTCCCTATAATCAAGAGGGCAATCTTCCCTCTAAAGCTGCAACGGCTATTTCTTTAACCCCTCCGCACACAGATGTAAAAGTCTTTGCTTTGGCCTTGCAACAGCTTCAGGCTGACTCACCGCTCCATCTGCTGTGAGATTCAAAGCATACACTTCGTGTCCTAGGCTGCAAGATGGTACTTCATGCAATTGAAACATCAGCTGTCACATCATGCAATTTAAAGGTGATGTCAGCACAGTCTTCTGCTATCCTGGGAAAAAGTATGTCCCTAAAGCATGTAGTGAGAATATCAAAGCACAGCATGAATTTGGTGTAAGAGTGAGGACTCTGTTGTTTTAGTCTTCCAAAGCCGGAAGAATAAGGAAAGATCTAAGTCAGCTACACACAACTAGCTACACTGAAGCATCAGTGAGAAAGTACAGCACAGCAGAGGATGCAATGACAAATGTGACAAAAGTAATGACAATTCCAGCTTCACTGCAGGTTGGTATTGTTCAACCGCAGTGTGGCATGCCAGAGATGCAACGACTTGCATAGGATTTTGTCTAGATACGGGGCAATTCCACAATGCCTCAAGTCAGAGCCCTAAGTCATTTAGGCCTAGCCATACACAGCAACTAAAGTCTAAACATTTTCAGAGGTCTGGATTTAACTGACCTCATTAAAGTTACGTCTGTAGCAATACCAGGAAAATAATCAGTATCCCTCAACTCCT